TCAGTCCTGACATAGACTCTTGGCTGTGAGTTCAGTGTTAATGCATCAGCAATATATTAAATATAATGCCTTTAACCAGAAATACTCATACAATAAGGTTACATGATCAGTTGATGATGATGTTGTGATCAGAGACTTAAAGGAATCTAGTCCTCTATTTCCCCTTTCCCAAAGGCAGTGGCTCCACCACTAATTCCATGTTTGTGGCAATTTTTAAAATATCTTTATTTATGTACTTATTTGTTTTTATGTATTGCTGAGGATCGAATCCAGGCTCTCACACCTGCAAAGCAAGTGCTCTACCACTTATCTACAGTCCCAGCCTGTTTGTGGCAATTTAATAGAACTTAACTACCACAAATAAAGAGAATTGACTGTATATAAAACCTACTACTTTTTTAAATCAATAATCCTTATATTTGTAGAATGTAAGCATTATTAGTTCTAATTATATTGAGATCATGATCACAAGAAATATATAACTCAGTAGAAAATCAATGCATACAAGATGAAAACAATTGCTATTTTAGATCAGACAGATGATTCCATATTCCCCAAGTTGGAGGGTTTTTCATCAATAGAGTACTGAAGAAATATAGGTGACATTGACTGATGGCATCTAAATGATCATCTACAGCACAACATGGTTGTCAGCTTATACTGGTGGACTGCCAATTTCTTTAAGCTTGCAATATTATCAGGCCCTCTTCTCTTAGAGAAAATTTTTATAATGGTATTATTTATGTGTGAGGAGATTTCATAATTGAAGACTAGCATGTATGCATTCATATCTGTCAATTTGCTTGAATGCAGCAGCTTAAAAGCATTTTTTAATCTCTTACTCACTAATATTGGTTCATATCATTTGAAGTGTTTTAAAATGACAAGTATTGTGTGAGAATGAGAATTACCCATACCTTCTGACATATCATCTATGTTATGATGAAAATTAATATTCAACTTACTCACGTTTTACTTTCTTCAAACCTGAAAGCAAAGATTTGTCATTTACAGAGTAGAGGACAAGAAGACACAAAACCTAATGCAATGACGAGTACTCCAAAGTGATTCTGTGCTTGTTGGGATTGTTTGTTTTCCAATACCTTTTTTCTTGGTATAGAAGATGTACTGTGGGTATTATATAGCTATACAGTTAATATTTAAAATAAAAATGATACAAGTCTACATTTAGAGGTCCTTCAATTTCAAGTGGCTGATTTATTTATCTGGCATATCCTTCTGACTTGGTCCTTTTTGATTCTGTGACCTTCTAATTAAGGTATTATTTATGGTGTATGCTTTCTGCTTTTATAGCAAGCTTCAGATTTTATGCCATTAAAAGTGGTTATAACAGCATTTGTTTCCTCTCTTTCTTTTTGGTAAAAAAATAGCCTCAATTTTCACTCTTCATATGGAAGTAAACCATAGATCTATTATTATTCTGTACAGTGGCTAGTTTATTTAAGTTTAAGGACTGATACTCTTTAATTATACTGCATTCAAAAAGCAAAATATTTGCAGTTGAAGTTCTTTGTAAATTGAACATTAAGTGCTCTCTCTTCATATATATATATATATATATATATATTTCTATCTCTCTCTCTCTCTCCCCACACACACACACACTGAGCTACATACCCAGTCTTTGCTTACTATATTTTTATTTTTCCCTACTGATTTGGAGCACCCTAATTTTGTAATGTTAATGATTGTTTTGTAAAATTGACCAACCCTTGACCTACCTGAATCTGTTTCCAATGTAAGTTCTCTAGTAAGTGCAAATTAAGTAGAACACCTTCTTGAGCCTATAAGAATGCAGAAGATTGACTAAAAGATGAAAATATGTCTCTAAATTAATATATTTCAAATGGAGGTGTATGCAGGGTATTCTCTAATTGGTAATTGTACTATATAGTTTTAGAGAAAATTCTTTGAAGGTCTATGGTGAATTATTGGTTGTGGTTCTAAGTCTCTTTATAAGGATAGCAACATATTTGAGTTTGTATTTGCTGTTTACTATCCCTCCAAGCCTTGCCATATATGTCTCCTTAGCTTCCTCTGGCTTTATATGTATAAATCATATGCTGATTTGTCACTAGTTATTTAGTTTCATATTTATTCAGATTAACAAATGTCTCCTGAGTGTTTGTTGCAATGATGTGTGAACTTAGTGAGGTAGAGAATATATTTTGGTCAGGATTTCCAGAGAAAGTGATCTTGGACCTGAAGCTTAAAGAGCAACTAAGAGTTTTCCACGTGTGGAAGGAGTATAAGGATAATATAAGCAAAGGGAATAGTTTGAGAATATAGAAGACTGACAGTTCAAATGACTGTGGTATGATGAGGTGGGAGATAGAAAATGAAACTGAAGAGAGAGTTACAAACTCATTCTTGGACATTTATTCTATAAATGAACTTGGACTTTATTCTGTAAGTGGTAGGTTACCTTTGAAGGTTTTGACATATGAGGGTTTGACACTTGATACAGCAGAATTTTCATGTTTAAGCCACTCATTCTGGAAGCAGTATAGTAAATAAATTTGAGGTAGGATAAGAGTAGTGAAGATGTGTTAGCCAGCTTAGTCAGCTTTCATCACTGTGACAAAATACCTGAGAAAATAAACTTAAAGGAATAAAGATTTATTTTGGCTCACAATTTTAGAGGTTCACTTGTAGGTTGGCTGGGTCCATTGCTGTGGATCTGGGTGAGGCAGAGCATCATGGAAAGAGAGGGCATGTTATAGCAGAACTGCTTACCTCATGGCCACTGGGAAGCAGAAAGAGAGGAAGAGAAGAGACTGGTGAGAAAATATTCTGAAGGGGGATCCCTAAATCCTTCAAGTGGGCCCTGCCTCCTACACTTTCCACCACCTCCCAATAATTATGAATCCTTCAATGAAGTAATCCACTGATGAGGTTAGAGCCCTCATGATCTACTCACCTTCCATAGGCACCACCTCTGAACGCTAGTGCATTGGGGAACATGCCTTCAATACAGAGCCTCTGGTGGACATTCTAGATCCAAACTATAAGAGATGAGAAAATGAGTTAAATTGCTGGTTTGGTTGTATTGAGAGATAATAGCCAAGTTTGGATACTCTTAATAGAGATGGAGTTGAGGAAGTAGACTGGCAAAGTATTAAAATAGAAGGCAATACATATTGAAGATGATTGGCAAAATGTGAGATGATTGTCAAAGTTTGGACTTGCGTGGGCAAGTGGCTGCAGTGCTGCTAGTTAAGAGTAATAAATGTGAGCCGCTCAGTTTTTGCCTATGGTTTCTTCAAATAGAAACATCTTCCAAACAAGCGGATATAGGGTCTAAGGCTCATGTGAAGGGTCAGGATTGGGGTTATGCATTTGAGGGTTCTAACAGTCCTGATGGGAGCACAGACTATGTGGGTTGAATATGAAGTAGGCAAAACACTGAACCCTAAAATGAAAAGGAAAAAGAGGAACCTAAGAAGGAACTGAGAAGAAAAAGCTCCTTGTCTTTAACTAATTACTTGTCAAAGGAGAACCAACTTTATCCTTTTTATATGATTAATAATATCTTGATAATATGATTGAATAATTTTAAAAATAGATATGCAATAAGTGCCTAAGTTTGGCATTTATTTTGTTTAGCCAGAAAACATTTCATCTAGAGATTTTATTTCAATTTCCTTAATTCCATAACTCAATTAGAATTATTTTTTATTCATATAATTTCTTGAGCACTAGGCAGTGTGTTAAATACTTTATTAATGCTGTCTCATTTTATTCTTAAAATAATCTTGCATGTATAGGTTTTATTGTTTTCATTTGTATTTGAAGAACTTGAGGATAAAAAAGATTAAGTGACTTGATCAACTTTTCCCCACATCTGTGTAACCCCAAAATTCATTCTCTTAACCATTGATGACCCATTTGTTTAGATAGTGCAAAAATAAAAAAATCCAAACCAAAATGAAACATTTTAAAGTCTAATATTCTGGTTCTATTGTGAAAATTACTCTGGCTCCAAAGCACTGAATTATACTGAATGGTCAGTCTCTTGTGGATTAAAGGGTATTTGGATACCTCTCTGTTCTTGCATACAGTGAGGCCTTACTAATTGTTTTCATCTTTCTGGATCACTCTTTCTTTATTTTTCTATCAGCAGTTTGTAATACATGATTCCTAAATTGCTTGTCTCTAAAATCCTTTTAAGTTCATACATTTAAAAAAACTAAACAACACAGGTTACTAACAGATTTTAGAGATCCATAGGGTACATGACTAGGTTTCATGACTCCATTAATATTAAATGAAAACCATGATGCATGTACTGCATTTTTCTGGGGATGCAATTCAGATTTTTTTTTTTGATTCCTGTAGTTTGATATAATTCACCACTCACTCTCCATCCAAAATGTTGAGATATATGAGTCCATAAATTAGTAAATACTAATTTACTACAGCACATGCAATCCCTGGATAGTTAAGTCATCTTTAACAGAGGTATTGTTGTATTGTTATTCTTTTTTAAAAAAAATTTTTTAGTGGTAGATGGATACAATGCCTTTATTATATTATTATTATTATTATTATTATGTGCTGAGGTTTGAACCTAGTGCCTCATGCATGCTAGGCAAGTGCTGTACCACTGAGCTACAACCCCAGCTCGATTTTGTTATTCTTTAAAAGTATATGTTTGTGGCACTAGAGATTAACCCAGGATCTGGCACATGGTGGTCAAGCACAGTACCACTGAACTGCATTTATAGCCCTGAAAGTAATTTTTTGAAGAACAAATTTATTTGTTATTAAAGGAAATGGTTACTTTTTGGCTACTTAAACCTATAGTGTTTTCTGTTAACCAACGAAAACACGTATTGGTTATTTTATTGATTAAAAACAAAATCTATTAAATAGAATAAAAGTCTGATTCTATCTTATGATGAATTAAAAATGCTCAGCTTTAAGAGTGATTCAGTGTCCTTCACTGTATATATTCCCCACTTTGCATCTTTCTACAGGAAAAGAATATTTGAGGTTCATTCATAAAGAAAGAAAAGAAAGCAAGGACATAATGCCTAGAATTGGAGCCAGTTAAACTAGGTTTGTATATTTTCTTTCCATAATAACATTGTTTATTTTACACTTGAATCCCTTTCTATCAATTGCCTGAATTATACTAGTAGTAAATCTTCTCATTTTGAACCTTGCCATAGTAGTATGGAAGAGAAAGAATACATGCCATTTCAAAGTATTTGCACTGCAACCGTGAATTTGAAAGACAGAATGATGAAAAATCTAAATAATATTCTCATTTTAAGATGAGAAGCTTTAAGTTCAAAAGCTTGAAGACAAGAGACTGGAGTTGTGGTTCAGTGGTAGAATGCTTCCCTAGCACATGTGAGGCACTGGGTTTGATCCTTTGCACTATATAAAAAGATAATTATATAAAATGAAGGTTTTGTGTCCATCTACAACTACATAAAATAAAATTAAAAGCTTGTAAACAGTCCAACTGGGATTCAGTCTCAGATACATTGAGTCAAAACCACATTTATTTTCTAGTTATATATCAAAGTCCTTTGTTTTATTTAGGTTTAATTTGTTTTACAACTACTGATTACTTATATGTATTTCCCTTAAGGAAACTTTCTAAGAAACTAAAAAGAGGGAAAAGCATTCACTATTCTCCTAAAGTTTAGAAGAGAAAGGAACTAACATTTATAAGCACTTATTATGTGCCAGACACTATCGTTAAAGTCTTAACTGAGGTAACTCCATTTAATTCACAATAGCCAGGTGATGTACTTGTTGCTATCCTTCATCTTTAAATTAGAGAAGTGAGTGAATTGCCCAAGATCACATAGCTTGTTAGTAATAAAAGGAGAATTAAAAGTCCTTTTTGAGAAAGATTTTATAGGGATTCCATCATGCCTGTTAACTTAAAATTTCATATCACACAAACCAAACAAATAGTGGAACTGTTCAGTCTGAGCATGCTTGGCTATTAGTGTCATTTGTAAACATTCTAGCTTTTTCTGTATGTGTGTGTGTGGTGCTGGGGATTGATCATTTGTAAACATTCTTAATTTGACAATTAGTAGTTAATCACCTCACCAAAATAGTTACAAACTTTTTCTTAATAAGCTTTCCAGTGTAACCAGTCGTTAAAGCTACATGACCCTATGAAAAGAAATTTAAAATTCACAAAATAGTGTGACAGACCTAGCAACAAATGAGAGAAAGAACTTTGAGGTGTGGGAATCAGGTCTAAGTCCTTTTGTCTCCCTGCTTCCTGGTTGATCTGTGTGCCCTACAGGTCCCTTACCTTGCATTCGTACACATTTTGTAACTGAGAAGGTTAATTGTTCCTTTAATCTCTTAACAATTATTAATCTATCGTATTTTATTTTTTTTCTTTTTTCGATTTTTTGTTGGTGTACTATGATTTTACATATTAGTGGGATTCATTGTTACATACTCAAAAAGTACACACCTATCATCTTATATACTTCAAATATAAATCTCAAATAATTTTTAGAGATATATCTATAGAGATGTCTTAATTGAACGCTTCTGTATGAGGGAAGTGAGATCATCATGTTTATATAGTAGTTTAAACATTTCAAAGGTTTCTCACATTTATTAATCTTTTACAAAGCCTCACCACTCTCTGGTGGGTTAAATATTATCATTTTCATTGTCTAAATGACCAAATTGAATTGGCTCAGGGTCCCATTGCAGGACCTAATTGAGTGAATCTGTAACCCTCAAACTAAAGTTTACCAAGTTTTCTTGTTTTAAAGGACTAATCACACCTTTGTGATGTAGTTCTATTGTGTGAGAAAATTAGAGTACAGTGCTTCAGTACAGTGCTTCATAAAAGAAATCTAAGTAGGAGAAATAAACGTTTTCTTCTGTGAAAGTTGTAATGACTACACCAGAAGAAATAGCAGAAACAAACATGTAAGGAAAGGGCAGAAACTAGGGTCTATGTGTTAATTTAATGTTTGTTTTCATTTATTCCTGGATTACGAATAAGCATAATTGACTTCTTTTTAATAACTTTATTTTATTTCTTTATTTTTGTATGGTGTTGAGGATCAAACCAGTCCCTCATAAGTGCTAGGCAGTGAGCCCACCACCCCAGCCCATAATTGACTTTTTTTTTTTTTTTTTTTGCGGGGCAGGGTACAGGGGTTGAACTTAGGGGCATTTGACCACCAAACCATAATCCCAGCCCTGTTTTGTATTTTATTTAGAGACAGGGTCTCAATGAGTTGCTTAGTGCCTCACTTTTGCAGAGGCTGGCTTTGAATTTACAATCCTCCTGCCTCAGCCTCCTGAGCCGCTGGAATTACAGGCATATACCACGGCTCCTGGCCCATAATTGACTTTTAATATCCTTGAATTAATCAGTAGTGTACTATTTGGGTTGCTTTAGCCTTAGCAAAATATTCAAGGAGATCATACTTTATAATGAGATATTTATAAATTATGGTTGAGCTAAGGAGAACTTAAAACAGTTAATTCAAAAGGAAGCCAAAAAAACCCAAATGAATAAATAAGTATGAGAAATTAAACTTCATACAAAATTATATGTTTCATTGCCTTTATTGATGTGAATTTTCCTTATATTTCTACTCCAATTGTGGAGATATTACTTAGAAACAGTATTTGTTTCCATGCCCTTGATCTTACTGGGCAGAACAAGTTACTTAACCTTGCTAACTTTCTGTAAATAATATTTTTTTTCAATTAGAAAGAAAATTATCTTAAAATTGGTATGTGGACATAAGCAGTTTTTATTTTACAGTTTTGATACCCAGGTTTTTTTTCCTTTAAAAAGAATTGATTTTCTAGATTATGTGGTATTATGGTGCTTTCTCTGCAAATACAAAAAAATTGATCATTGAAAGAATCTCTACTTTTATTCTGTAGTAAGTTTTTTTAAGATGATAAGCTAAAAATATTCTATAGAACTAAAAAATGAAAGGAGGCTTTCCAAAATTGTTCTAATCAAATAAGGGAAACAGGATAGAGTCGTAGAAAAAAATTTGAAGGCAACATTATAAGATTTGACTTAAACTAGAGAAGAAAAGTGTATTATATCCTTCCCGAAGTACGTTTTTCTTTTTTTTTAAATTTTTATTATTGGTTGTTCAAAACATTACATAGTTCTTGACATATCATATTTCATACGTTTGATTCAAGTGGGTTATGAACTCCCATTTTTACCCCGTATACAGAATGCAGAATCAAGTACATTTTTCTTATGAATCATTTTTGAGATTCTTTTGCCCAACTTTCCACATGCTCTGTCCTACAGAGCCCAGTCTCCCTTCCTACTCCCATTCTCATGCCATTACAGATCCTTAGAATTCAGGAAAATTATGTTTGATGCAGACTTGTATAGAGCTGTTATAAATTCTCAGCTTTTCATTTGACCTCAAAACATGTACAAGGGTTTTACTTTTCGGCCATTGCTTTATGGTGCTTTAAAGTAAAAAACGAAAAGGCCACTACACAGCAGTTAGTTTTTAGGGTTTTTTTTGTAACAGTTTAAACAGTTCATTATATTAAATCTGTTGTAAATATGATTATGTTTTGCTTCCCCAGATTCTGTAACCAGTTTTAAGAACTACTGTTAGCTTCTCAGTGGCCAGCTGTGATTTAGTGATCTTAATAAAGTTGTAACTTTTAGCAGAGGGCTTAGAGCTTTTAAAAATGACTGGACTTTTTTCTGGTAATTTGTGGTTTTCTTGTTTGGCTTGGGTATTAAAGAATTCTTCATTAGAGTCAGCTGCAAGCTTGCCAGGTTTGTAGGCTGATGTCTCATTAATATTAAAACATTCCCTTGGTACATGTGTGCCATGTGTGAACCCTGTGATTCAGAGGGTATGATTTTAACACATAAAGTCTTTTAATTTCTTTAACTACTCATTTCTATAAAGAAATTGCTGAAATATTTAACTTTTGTTTTCATCTCATTGGCAAACCTGCTAGCATTAAACAGGGCTTTACCTGGAGATTGACTGATTTAGTATTGTTATGGGTTTATTTCTCTGTATGTAATATGGTTTCTGTGCTAGCGTACCTTCTAAAAGTGATTTCAATGCCTAGTAAGATGTATGGACGTTTGAGGAGCTATGAGATCTTTTTTGATGTTAGGTTCAATAAATCTCAGGTTGGGAATAAAGGAAATATGGAATGTTGACTTCTGTGTATAATGGTGTGTGCATGTTTTTGTATGATCTAAACACCCAGGAAATGAAATAAATTTATTTGATTTACAGCTTCCTTCCTGAAAAGGTTAAAGTTTAACATGGAGATGGAGTTATAGGGAAATCTTGATTAGTTTTCCTCTTTCAAATGTACCACTACTTAATAATGAAATGATTTAATGTTGCTCAGGACTGCATTCTGTATCTTGGTATTATATTTGAAAGAATAAAATAAGTTGATTCATATTTTCAAAAATAGAAATGTGACATTAACGGAAAATTATAGGATCTGTGGCTTACATTTTTAAGATAAGTACATTAGTATTTGACCCATTTATTAAATCTGTCAAAGACAATAGTGTCAAACAAGTATAAATTTTCAAAATATTAATTAAATATTTTGTTAGCACATGTTTACATATATGTGTGTGTATGTCACCTTTATTTTTCTTATTTTTTGAAGTGAGAAGTGTTATCCTGTTGGATGACATTGAGAATATTATTGAAATAATTATTTGCTTCAATCCTTAAATCTATCTCCAAAAAAATAAAAACAAACAACAACAAAATACAAAGGCAATTAATTTCTTTTTTTTTTTTTTTGGAAAATGTAATGAATTTGTCCTTAAAATTGTGTGAACAGTCTTACTAGCATTGCTTGTTTTTACATATAACCAGAACATTTTCATGTAAGATTTGATAGTTCAAAATGTTGTTAATCTGCAAATCTTCTATAGGAATAGTGAAAGATTGCAAAAGAATTACGGACTTTAGATTGTCCGATTTGATTGTATTGAGTGAATTTAGTAAAAATGACTTACTTTCTCATCTCCAGTAATGTAAATATCTCATGTCTTATAAAATTAATAATCACCTGCATCATTTTGCTAGCAGGAATGCTGTTTCACAGACTTTTTTTTTAAATAGCAAACTATAGAGAAAATCTGATATTATAAAGGGAGTAGAAAAAACCATACACTCTCTACAGTGTGAGCTTTGATTATTTCAAAGAGGAGAGACTGCTTTCCAAATATCATCTATTCAAAGTTAGTAAGGTCAGCTGTTCAGGGCCCTTAAAGAAATGACATAAAACCAGTGAGAGAGAATATTGGAAGCTAGCCTTACTGCCTGCAGCCAAGTTTATAAAACCCACTTGAGTGCATAGAAATGTATTGTTTATTTTTGAGATAAAAATTCAACAGACATGTGGAAGATAAATAGATTTTAGAATAAGAAGAGCCTTTAGAAATCATTTGATAATCCCCTTTCATTACACAAAGAAAAATCAAGGGTGAAAAGTTAATTTACTGGAATCGGAATTTCATTGGAATTTTGGGGGCTAGGGATGTGGTTCAAGCGGTAGCGCGATCGCCTGGCATGTGTGCGGTCCGGGTTGGATACTCAGCACCACATACAAACAAAGATGTTGTGTCCGCCAAAAACTGAAAAATAAATATTAAAATTATCTCTCTCTAAAAAAATAAAAAAAGTTAATTTACTTATTTGGCATCACATAGACAGTGACAAAAGTAAGACTAAAATTCTTCACTTTTATTTGAAATAATTAATTGAAGTTAAAACTTAAAGAATTGTGATAAATGATTTTTATTATTGCAATTAATATTTTAAATTTACATATAGTAAAGTTGACTCTTTAAAAATAAGTTTGTTAGCCAAGTTTGGTGACCATGCCTGTAATCCCAGTTACTCCAAAGGCTGAGGGAGGAAGATTGCAAGTTGAAGGGCAGACTCAGCAACTTACTAAAGACCCTGTCTCAGATAAAAAATAAAAAGGGCTGGGGGATATGGCTTACCTCTGGGTTCAATCCTCAGTGCCAAAGTAATACAGTACCAAAGTAGTAGTAGTAGTAGTAGTAGTAAGAAGAATAGAACAACTAGTAGTAGTAGTAATAGTAGTAGTTGTTGTAATAATAATAATAATAAGAAGAAGAAGAAGAAGAAGAAGAAGTAGTAGTAGTAGTAGTAGTAGTAAGTAGTAGTAGTAGTAGTAGTTCTGCGAACTAATGCATGCACAGATTCATGTAACTACCACCCCAAACAAGAGACAAATAGTCCCATTGCCCCAGAAAACTCCTTCAGGCTTTTCCTTTTTTGGTTAAAAACCTCTTCCTAAACCTCACCACTAGATAACTACTGATCTGTATGCCATCACTAAGATTTTACCTACTCCAGAATATTGCATAAGTGGAAGTATTTAGTATGTACTCTTTTGAGTATAGAGTGTAACTTCTCTCAAGTGAACATTTTTGAGATTCATCCAGGTTTCGTGTAGCATTGATCCATTATTTTAATTGGTGAGTAGCATTTCATTGTATCACAATTTTATTATTTATTGGTTAATGAACATTTGGTTGTTGCTAGTTTGTTTTACAGAGCACAACAAAATTAAGAGAAAGGTACAGAGATATCCCTGTCCTTACAAGTATATAACTTCCCCCATTATTAACATCCCCCACCAGAGTGGTATATTTGTTACAATTGATAAAGCTACATCGAGACATTACAATCTCCCAAAGTCCATAGTTTACATTAGGATTTAGTCCTGGTGGGTTTGGACAAATGCATAATGGTATATGTATGTATCATTAGAGTATCATATAGAATATGTTCACTGTCCTAAAAATCTTGGTTCTGCCTATTCTTTCCTTCTCTCTTCAATTTCTGGTAATCCGCTGGTCTTTTTTACTGTTTCCATATTTTTGCCTTCTCCAGAATGTCATACAGTTGGAATCATAATATGTAGTCTATTAAGTTTGACTTCTTGTTTACAGATTTTAGCTATTATGGATAAAAACATTAAAATTCTTTTTAGAGAAAATGAAAAAAACTTACAGATATCATAGAGACCTGATAGAATGTTCCTAAAGAATTCACAAAGTTCACTTACTTCTTAAACTTTTTATTTTAAGATAATTATAAATTCACGGGAAGTAGCAAGCATACTTCAAGGAAATCCATTCACTCAATTTCTTTTATTGTTTACGGTTTATGTAGCTTTAGAACAATATCAAAACCAGGAAGCTGATATTGATGTAAAGAGAGTATATAGTTCTTTGGTATTTTATTATATTAGATCCATGTAATCAATCCTACAATTATGTTACAGAATTATTCTGCAACTGTAATATTATCTCATATGCTGCTGGGAATTAAAACCAGGGATGCTCTACTACTGAGTTATAACCCTAGACCTTTTTGTCTTTTATTTTGAGACAGGGTCTCACAAAGTTCCTGAGGCTAGCTTCAAACTTATAATCCTCTTGCCTTAGCCTCCCAAGTAACTGGTATTACAGGCCTGTTGCATCTCACTGGCAAGCTACCTCTCTCTTTATAGTAATGCCCCCTCTCCAACCCTATCCACAGAGATACTTTCTAGGACCCCTAGTGGATGCCTAAAACTGAGGAAAGTACTAAACTTGAGTATATATCATATTTTATTCTTATTGTAGATTGTAGCAACCTCAGTAAATGACTTTTCCCCCCTTTTCTTTATGAAATTGAGACTTATTCCCTTTTCATTTGAGGAAAGCAGTTTGCAGCTACTCTGTGGTATATATCTGGATTGCTAGCATCACTACTATTTCCTGTCTCTCCTTTATCCCGTGTGTTGTTGATTTCTATCTTCCCTTATTCAGTCTAGCTAGAAATTTATCAGTTTTTTTAATGTTTTTTCAAAACCCAGTTCTTGCTTTCATTGATTTTTCTCTATTTTTCAGTGTCTATTTTATTGATTTCTCTTTTTTGTTATTTTGTTACTTTCTCTTGTTTTGGCTTAATTTACTCCCCTCTCCCAGCTTTGTATGCTAGAAGCTTAGATAATTGCTTTTAGGCGCTTTATTCCCTAATAAAAATAGAAAACTCTAAATGTTCTCAAAGCACCTTTTTAACATCATCTTACAAATTTGGTATGTTGCTTTTTAAAATATTCTTTATCTTTACATTATTTTAGAAGTATATTGCTTGATTTCTTAATCGGGAACTTTTCAATATCTAATTCCATTGTGAAAGAAGAATCACTGTATATAGTTCCAATTCTATTAATTTGTAAAGACTCATTCCTGATTCAGTAGATTGTTTGTCTTGAACAATGTTTCATGGGCATTGAAAAAATTTATATTTTGCCACTGTGGACCGGAGTGCTCTATAAATCTCAATTCAACAGCTCAGATCTTATTTATCTGCACTTTTGGTATATCTGTTCTTTCAATTACTGAGAGAAGAATGTCAATATCTCCAACTGTAATTGTGTCTGTTTCTCCTATCATTTCTATCAGTTTTTGCTTCATGTTTTTTGTACATATGATGTTGTATCCATACATATTTAGAATTGTTCCATCTTCAGAATGAATTAATCTCCTGATCATTACCACATATCTTTTATTCTGTCTGATAATATTCTTTGCTTTGTCTTCTACCTTACCTAATAAAATGCAGCTTTTCCAACTTTCTTAATATTTCAGTTTGATATCCTCTATTAACCTATTTCCTTATTTTTAGTGTATATTTCTTATATTTGGGTGCAGCATGTATTTGAGTCTTGCTTACTTATATGTCTTTTATATATATATATATATATGTATATGTGTGTGTATGTGTGTATATAAATAAAACTTTTTTTCTCTTGCAGTAAGAATATAAGTTAAGTAATGAGAGGCAAGAAAGAAAGGAGAATCATCTTGGAAAGATCACAAGCACTTTGAAATTTTGAAGGAATGTAATACTAGCTGCTAAAATCACCAGAATGGATGAAGTTCTTCAAATTTAAATGGTAACCATAATTATTCTGTCATGTTATGTTTCTACCAAGAACTTTAGATGGCTTGAAAGGATTTCTTTTTAAGTTTAAATGTTTGTCTTACAAATGCCAAACAGTGGATAAAGCTGTTTTATAAGTTAATATTATCAGGCTTTATTTTGGTCCTTAATGTTTGTTCAGAAGATTTGTTTTTCTCCCAGTTTCACTTAAACTTACCTGGGAATTAATATAGCATATATTAGTACATTTATAAGTTCATTTTTCACCAAATGTTTTTCCTTTTGTAGAAATAAACCAAACAATATAAGTAGTAGTTATTTTTACATATTTAAAAAAGTTATTTGATCTTTTCTGAGTTTATTTCACGTTGTTTTTAGTTTCCCTATGTTGGCACATAGTTTCATTTTCTCCTTTCATATCTGACACCTTATTTTTATTTCATCTTTATTTTCTCCTTTCTACCTTAAAAAAGAAAAAAAATCGGCCTGTTGGAATTGAATTACAAAAGGCGTAAGGATCAAGAATAGGAAAAGGAGAGAGAAATTTGAAAAGATTATAAAATTTTTCTTCTAATAAATTGCATGGACTGTTATATTTCAAGTACAGTGAAAAGCAGTTATTTACAAATTTACAAAATCCCAAAAAAGAACTATGTTGATTTTCCTACCTGTAATAATTAAGAAGTCATATAACAGATCCATGAGGTACATAGAATACTTATATATTTACATATTATTTTTCTGGCCCCATTTAAGCTCCAGAATCCAAATCCTTGCCTTTCAAGAGGGAATGGCATGGTGGCGCACACTTTATAATCCCAGTGGCTTGGGAGCTGAGATAGGAAGATCGCTAGTTCAAAGTTAACCTCAGCAATAGCAAAGCACTGAGCAACTCAGTGAAATTTTGTCTCTAAATAAAATACACAAATAGGGCTGGAGATGTGACTCAGTGGTTGATTGCCCCTGAATTCAATCCCTGGAACCAGGAAAAAAAAATTTTAAAAGAGGGTATGGAATGAGATTTTAATTGTGCAATTCACAGAATTTCTAACTTGCACAACTAGAAACTTATATTTTCAATTGCAGACGCTATCATGGCCAATGTGAAGTAGTTAAAATTTAAAGGATGATATTTTAGCTAGGTAACACTAAGGTTGAGTCAAACACCTAATTTTATTTAAGTTCATTTCATTAGCTGTAATCTATGGCCCTTGTGAATGTGAGCATGTTTTTGCAGGCAAAAAGACCACTCTGAACAATTTGAGTATCTCTCTGGAAGCTTAAACTCATAAGGTTTTATAGAGCTTTTAAAGCATTCTTTACAATACCTTAATGTAGGAAAACTGTACTTACGGGGGGAAGCCTATGTGTAGTTTTCTCAAACAAAGCTGAATTTAAAATAATGGTAATTAATCTGTATTGAATGGTAATAACTATATGCCTAGCACTGAGATTAGCTTTTAATATGCTGCCTTAGTCTATTTGGGCAGCTATAATAAAAATACTTTAAGTTGGATGGCTTACAAATTACAAAAGTTTATTTCTCACAGTTCTGGAACCTGGTAAGTTCAAGATCAAAACATTGTTGGAGTTAGTGTTTGGTGATAGCCTGCTTCCTGACTCATAAATGGAGTCTTTTTTCCATGTCTTCACATGGCAGAAAGGGCAAATGAGGTTTCTGGGGTTTCTTTAATAAAGGCCCCAATCCCATTAATGAAGAATTTATCTCTGTGACCAAACAACCTACCAAAGACTTCACTCCCAAATACCAACACATTATCAACATAGGAATTGGAGGATGGGGCATAAACATTCATTTTATTGCATTTGCATTATCCTTATGTCTCACAATTCTGTTTGACATAGGTCTTATTATTTTAAAAAATCCATTTAACATATGAGGAAACTCATTCTCAAAGAAGCTAAGTAATTGCTTAATATCAAGTGACTAGTTAGAGGTGGAGCTAGATCTGTCTGACTGCAAAGCCTAAGCTCTTAAGCAGGAATTTGTTGTTGTTTATGAAGACTTAAACAGAACCTGTTGAAATTATTTCTTCTTTATTTAGTGGCAAATAAGGAGAAGGTATTTTTTTTAGCAATATCCTTGTTGTAACTCTAAAATTATGCTCCCTCAAGATGTATGTTTCTTCTGCAGCATCAATTTTGTTTCGTCAATAATTTGATTGTTTTATGTTCTTAATGTATTAGCTATTGTATTATATAAAAGGAAAGATATAGTCATGGAACTTTAATTTGGCTGCTTAAAAAGATAATTTAATCTACCACTATATAAAGTTGAATTACTTGAAGATGAAAATGGTAGTCCCCACATTTTACTTGAGATAAAGACACAGGAAAAAGAGAATAGGATATGAGTGGGGGGAAAAAAATCAAAACGGAGCTTTACACTCATCTGTCTTCCCTTGAAATCTTATTTACCTTTCTCCTTTCTCTTTATTCCTCAAAAGATTTTCAGTCCTTTTCAATTTCAGAAGGCTATACTGCCATTACAAACTAAAATGGTAGTGAATTCAGAGACCGGTTAATCCTAATAATATAAGTTTTATGTTCAATTTATGTATAATCCCTTTCAAATAGGTACTTATTATTCTATTAATTGTAGAAAACTAAATATAGTAAAAACTCCACCAAGATTCAACATAGTAAAAGTATTATCTTGATATATCAGTTTAACTCAATTCCTTAACTCCCAGCAAGACTTTTTGTAGATAAATATATCAGTGATATATATATTTATTATATTTATATACTTATGATGAGACATATATAATCTAAAATGTATATAGAAGGCAAGAGATTTCAAATCACTAATTTTGAAAGAGTAGGATAACATAGAATCTCTTTACCTACTTATAGGATATCATGTAGTCTTAGTAATAAAGATTGATATTGTCATGGAACAGACATATAAATTAATGGATCAGAATAGATAACCCAGAAATAGCCCCACACAAATATAAGCAGCTGATTTGGTTTTACAAATGTATAAAGGCAATTCAGAGGAGGCTATCTATTCAACAAATGGTTCAGAAAAAATCAGATACTAATAGGCAAACAAAACCCTCAAGGTAAGTTTCATACCTTATATACAAATTAACTTAAAATGGATTGTAGAATTATATGGAAAATGTAAAAGTATAGAACTTTAGAAGAAACTAAGAAAAAGTCTTTAGGACCTTGGGCTTGGTGAAGAATAATTAGATATAATACAAAAGCACAATCTATAAGTGTTGGTCAGCTTTCCATTAATATAACAAAATACCAGAAATAATGAAATGAAAAAAAGGGAAGTTTTATGTTGGCTCACAAGTTTGGGAGATTTCAGTCTGTCGTCACTTGGCCCTGTTGCTTTTGGGCCTGTCAAGGCAATAAGTCATGATGGGGAGTAATGTGATAAAGCAAGCTGCTCACTTCAGTGGGACCAGGAAGCAAAAGACAGAGAAGAAGAGGAGGTACCTAAATCACACAGTCCTCTTATTGGGCACACCTCCAATGACTTAAGATTTCCCACTAGATCCTACTTCTTAAAGTTTTGACTACTTTCCAATAATACCAAGCTGAGCACTAAGTCTTTAACACATGGGTCTTTGGAGAACATTTAAGATCTAAACCATAGCACTGTAAAAAGAAAAAAGTAAGCTAGGCTTCATGAAACTTAAAACTTTTGTTTTGCAAAAACAAACAAAAAATCTGTTAAAGGTGGTTCTGGGAAGATGGCAGAGGAGAAAGAACCAGGAATCTAACTCAAGTGTAGACAATAATGGTTCTAGCAAAATCTAAGTAACTATTTTGGAACTCTCAAGCATATTAAAGGCTTACAACTTTCAGGGGGAACCTTGGAAGGTAAATTATGGGTGATTTTGGCCAATTTCAGCTCTTGTAACAGTAGCAGCTATCCACCCTCCACCAACCCCCCAGCCCAGTGGCAGGTAACCAGGCATGTGTTCCCCGAGCAGCTTACACACAGTTTCCAGAGTGGGCCAAAGTAACCCTCTGCTCTACATGTCAAGAATCTAATCACCTAATGATGGTCTCATAACAGAGATCTAGAAAAAGAAGCGCAGGTACTTCTTCCCATTGTTTCAAGTCCTCTATCTTTACCTCCGGCTGAAGGACTTTGAGGTAAAGGACCCATAGACTTTTTTCTCCCTTTTATTTATCTCTCTTTCCCGTTTGTGATCCAAACATTAAACACTAAGACATGTAAATCAAGTGCATTAAGTGCAGAAAGTTAGAAAGTAACCATGTATGTCCACGGGAAAGGTTCAGGCTTAGCATGATCTGACATTTACACTTCAGACTGTTATTTGCCATAAAGGTGGTCTACAATTAAAAAGCAAACCTTGGAAAAGGGGGTTTCCAGAGAGAACAATTGTATTAGTCAGTTTTCCAAATTGACTAATTTCAAATACTTGACAAAGGGTACTCATTAACTCAAGAGAAGTTTATTTTTGCTCATTGTTCTGGAGATTCAAGTCCAAGATCAGGAAGTACATCAGTGGTGGGAGTGAGTGTCAGGGTGAGCAGTCACATCTTTTTTTTTCCTTAATTTTTTACATATTTTTAATTGGTATAAATTTACATAACAGTGTGATTCATTGTTAAATAGTTATACACGCATATAACAATTGCAGTCACATTTTGAGACGGGAAGCAGAGAGAGACCCGGATCTACAGTCCTCTTTGAGGACATTCTAATAGTAACTTAAACACCTCCCACTAGGTTCTGCCACTTAAAAGGTTCACAGGACTTTCCAGTACTACCACTGAGGGATCAAACTTTTACATATAGACCTTTGGGGGACACTCATTCAAACCATAGCATTCTGCCCATGACCTCCATTCTCATAGTGAAAAGTTTATTCACTCTATTCCCAGGAGTCCCAGAGTTAACTGTTGCAGCATTGCACTAAAGTCCAAGTACAAAGTCTCTTTCAGACTGGATGTGGTGACATACTCGGATTCCAGTGACTCAGTAGGCTGAGACAGAAG